TTTTTTTTTTTTTTTTTTTTTTTTTGTTTAGCAAAGGTTCAATTGTCTCAATTTTTAATTCCTTCTTTATGAATAAAAGCTTTACTTAAAAAATTAACTTATGAAAGGAGCTGAAACGATTCTGTTTTTCTCAAGCAAAAGAATAACTTATCTTCTTTCATTTTCTTTACTATTATTATAGTTTTTTATTTTCTCAGTAGCACGAAATTTATTCATTTTTTGTTTCAATTTCTTTTGTAGTTTTTTAATATTCCTTATTAATCAGCCTTTTGCTCCCAATTCTTTGTCTTTATACTTGATTCTTTTTTCGCAAAAACCTGAAAACTCATCCTATTTTTAAAAGTTTGCGATAGTTCTTAAATTCTTCTCACAAAATTCTAGTCTTAAATACCCCTGCATTTTTTTTAAGGGTTTTTTTCCAAAGATGCGAGAAAAAACTTTGGGTTTATAACATTTTATAGAAATATTAGATAATCTTGTGTTTATATCCATGATTAACTTTATTAAAAACAAACATATTTTTGACAAAAACACTTTCTTTATTTTTGTTATAGAAATAACAACGCCATCTTTAGATTATTTCTCTTTATTTTTAGCATGAAAAGAGTTTTTGAAAAGGAAAAGGATAAAAACATCGGTGAAAATTCGATTTTACTAACTAAATTCACTTGCTTGAGAAAAAAATTGAAAATAGTTCAAAAAATATTTTGATTATGTTCCTAATATTTTAGAGTAAATACTCACTGCCATTTGAAGTAGTCTTATTCTCATCTATTCCTTTTATATATTATCTTATAACTTTTTTATTTACATTAACAATAACCTACTTTTTAATACGAATTTCTCTAATAAATAAAATAGTATTGTCTGTCTTTTAAATTTATATATTTAACAACTGAAGGATAAAGAATTTATTTAAAATTATTATTTAAAAAAATTAATTTATGCTATTTATTTTATCAGTTCCATTTATTTCTATTGATTTTGTTTTTAAATTCAAAAAAATTTTTTTTTGTTTTTCTTTTGACAAAAATATCTACTACTAATATATTAAAATTTTGATTCTTTTTTTCAGTTAGAATAACTGATTATTATTTATTAATTTAAACTTATTTTTTCTATTAACCAAAAGTGTGTAATTGTAATACTCTTTTAAAAGAAATACTTTAGAGCAATAAGGGATAATCAAGATTTAAATACAAAATTATTTTCATTTTTATCAAATAATAACTGATAAAATAATCAAAAAAAAATTATTTTTTTTATCTTCATTTATGATGTTCATTTAAATTAATACTTTTATACAAATAAGTCAAAATTATAAAAAAAAAACGGAAGAAATAAAAGATTGAATGATTTTTAGAATGAAATAACATAAGATGAAAAAGTGAAAAACAAAAAAATATAATAACACAAAAAGGAATGATAAAAGAAAATAAGAAATTAAAAAAGAAAAAAAACAAAAACAAAAGAAGAACTGTGTTTCTAAGAAAATAATGGCTCAAACTATGAGTTGTATTGATATGATAAAAATGATGGATATAGAGGATAGTTCAGAAGATTCTGAGACTATCTCACCAAATGAAGAGACAGATATTTCATCTGTAAAATATAAAACATATTTAAGTATTACAAGTTCTCAAGTACATAAAAATCTCCATGCACTTCGATATTTACAAAAAGAGTCATCAAAAAATATCTTTGATTATTATCGAGTTTGTAGTTCTGAAGAACTTATTTTAAAAGACCAAGAAAGGAAAAGTAATGAAGAAATGATGTTGTGGATTGAAGGAAAGAAAGAATTGTCTATCCCAGAACAAATGAAATTTGTTGTTGACCGATGGAACACACCTTCTAATACTGCAAAATTTAAAGGTATTCCATGTTTTTGGGGAAGGATTATCAAACGATTACCATATTTTACACCAAATACAAAAGAATATCCTATTATTGAGTTTATTAAAAATATTGATGTTATAAAAAAACCATTAAGTATTACACAAAATGGGTTTCAAGTAAAATATCAAATTATATTCCAATACAATGAAAATGAATATATTTCTAATGGTGCTTCAGTTGAATTAACTTATGTATTACCTAAAGAATTTCCCATTAACCAAATTACTGAACCAAATGTTGCAATTATTAATGATAACATTTGGAAAAATAAAATTGAAGTTGAAGAAGGAGATTTGTCTCAAAAAACAAATTTTTTTTCTGTATTTAACACAGACAATAAAGACAAACAATTTATTTATTTCTATATATTAGCTAAAGAATGTGTTACAAATAAAATGCGTTGGTTTGATGATTCTATTGTTCAAATAAAAGATATGAAAAATTTAAGTTGGAGCTCTATTAAAGAATTTGACTATGCTAATGAATGTGGTGATAGAATTATTGACGATAAAGCATCGCTCCCTTGCGTACAACAATAATAAATTCATTTTTACGATTTATTAGATAATTATGGTAATTTTATAATAAAATTATAATAAAAATAAAAAAGAATTTTAAAAGAAAGGAATAAAAACTTAAAAATAAAAGGAATCTTTGAAAATTACTTTTTATTCTGCTATGCGAACAAGCAGTTTTTTATTTTTTATTTACTTATGTACTGCTACAATATGTAATAATAGTAGAGTATTTACTATTACTAAAGAAAAATCAGAAAGTATATTTCAATTAATGTATGGAAAAGATAGAAGAGTTGGGGCTATTGGATGTAATAATCATCAACAACTTGCAGCATGGATAAATATAGTCAATAAAACACCACAAATTCTTAAAGTACAAATGAAATATTATTCAAAAAAAAGATTTGAAAAAAAACTACCAATTCATATTGCTGTAAATGAAAAATGTCCAACATTACCAAATGACGTTCATTGTCTTGCAAATAAAACAAGAGTTGAACCAGTAGTTCAATTTATGTTAACACCACAACAATCAGTTTATATTGCATCATTTGCTAAAGATGGAAAAAATACATTTATAACAACTGAATGGATTAAAATTAAAACAACACCCATTAAACATACAATTGGTAAAGCAAAATTAAGTTTAACTGATTTAGACACTATAGAGATATTATCTTCTGGAGTACAAAATTATGTTAATCAATTAAACAGTGAATTAGGAAAATATGGTAAAGTTCCACATATAAATTATTTATCAAATGATGCAATAAAAAGAATGGAATTAGTTCGTAAAAATAAACCAATACAAATTAATATGATTCATAAACAAAATAAATTAACATATCAACCAAATGGTATTCCTAATTCATATAACTATAATCAACCTATTAATATTAATAAAAATACTCAAACAAATAAAAAAGTTACTTTAAAAGAACTTATGGTTATTGCAAAGAAAAATAATAAAAATAATAATGTTGGTTGGAAAAATAAAAAAGGATTTGGATTAAATTTTACAAGACCTTCAACTCTTAAAACACAAAAGAAAACTAGTAATATTGTATCTATTATGACTTCAAATGATTATGCTAATATGACAAATAGAATTGCAAGAAATGTTGTATTAGTTGTTGTATGTATTGCTGGTGTAGTATTAATACCATTAGGAATTTATGTTACTTATCAGTCAATAATAAACAGAAAACGTTTAGAAGAATTTCAATCATTTTAAATAATAATTAAAATTTAATTTTTTTTAATAAATA